GGGCCCCGCTGGCGCCATTCCCAGCCGGGGGCTGGGAGGCTCCGGCGGGACCAGCGGGGAGCCCGCGGGGCAGCCTTGCTCTCGGGCGGCGCGGAAGTCACGTTAAGGGCTGGCCCCCTCCTCCACCACCCCTTGATCTGTTCGGTTAATAATTTTCATGTGTGGGAGAGACCTTCTATTGTCACAACAATACATCTAGTTCTGTCCTAATGGTCCCACCCGGAGACACAGGTTTTGGTCAACGACTCAAGCCAAAAGCTTCTCCAACACTGTTACTGTAAGTTGTTGATGGGAATTAATGTGGTTTGGGTTTTTTTCCCCACCATCCTAGCCATTAAGTGAAGCTTGGAAGGGCTACTTGGTGTGGAGGGAGAGTTACCTCAGGGCTGGTGGTGTCTTGCACTGCCTGGTGCCTGAATGAAAGAGGTGACCCAATGGCAGAACAGCTCTAACACAATCCCCGCCAAGGAAGAAAGTGCCATGGAGATGAGTCACCACACGTTTTGGAGGTCTTCTCAAAGTTGCCCTGTAAATTCATAATCTTTGTTCTACAGTGTTGCACCATCCAGCTAATTATGATCATAGTAACCAGACAGCTGTTGAAATTTCATCGTTGAATCTCTACACTCCATCAGATCACCTGGCTCCTGGCCATTTCTATCATTAGCCTTGAATATTTTCTCAGTTGGTAAAAGTCAAAACCATGTTAAGTCATCCTCCACATTACATATTTTCCAGCCTTTCCAGTCGCACATCTTGGGAAGACATCTTTTGTTCTACAGCGGTGTTTATCTATAAACATCTAAGTTCTGCTGAAGTTCAGAGAGAAATTCAAGAGGACTTAAGCACCTGGTTTTGAGAGCTTTGATGCATTCAAAGACGGATGGTAGAAAACAAGTGGTTTTCTAATTTAGAATATGTTAAGTGAAACCTCTCATCCTTATTAGGCATTAAAAAAGTAAGCAAAGAGCACCCTCCTCTTACCACTGCCCTAGCAATAGACATTACCTAACAGTGTTATCTAGGGCTTTTACATAGCAATATAGCAATAGACTGTTTTCATTAATGTTTTAGATTATACAGCTCAAACAGAAATTTTAATGGTTTTGCTTGCAATTTTGGAACTGTACTGAAATGTATTTATAGATGTCTCTAACTCCAGAGAGCCCTTGTCCCCCTATAGACATGTAACCCTATTTTTGAATTCATATGTTCAAATGTAGGCAAAAATAATGAAATGCACCATGATTTTTTCCATTATTTTTTCAACTGACATCAGGAGAAAGGAGAAAAATGTTCAGACACCAATGTAAATTTATCTTTATCTGTAAAACCATGCATAATTCAGATTATTTTTAAGAATAATCCATATCAAGTAATTCTTTTTTATGGTTTGAAAGAGTTAGCATTAGCTCAAACACTAAGCAGTAAAATCTCTTCTTGAACACCAGAGATCTGAAACGGATGTATTTATAGGCTCCACACCACTGCTTTCATGGACAGGCCTGATGTCAGCAACTTCACTAAAAAATGTCAAACGTATTGACTGGCAGTAGATAAATTCAACAAAGCTGAACCAACAGTGTGCTCAATGACTTATAAGAAGAGTGACATCCTTCTCCCTGTCATGGAGTAAAATTGTCTCAAAAAGCAGTCAACTGTATTTGAACTGAGAAGGAGCAATCTGATATATTTTAAGGAGTTTATGTTTGAGCAGGAACACTACCAAGCCAACCTTCAAGTGATGCATAGCATATTGTAGGAACAGAATGAATATAGTTTAAAGCTACCTCCTGCTATCAGCAATATTTATGGTAACAAATAGTGGCATTTGTTCCAGAATTAGAAGGAAACGTATTCCTTTGGCTGAAGGACTTCAGCCTGACCACTTTTTAGGTTTACATC